GGGGCGAGGACGCCTTCCGCCGGCTTTTTCGCTTCTACCGGCAGCGCGACGCGTTGGACTTGCGGGGCGTGGTGGACTTCTCCGTGCCGGGGAGCCAGGTAACGCTGGGCTCCTCCTGTCCTCGCCCCGCGGCGAGGGGTTGGGTGGCGCGAGCTGAGCTCGTCCCGCCCTTTGAACAATGTGGTGGTGTTATTTCCCTTCGTGCTCGACGCTAGGTTTATAATGTCGTCCAGTGGCTGGCTAGAAGACGTTGCCCTCCCAGCGCGAGCCTCTTGCGGGTTGCTGTAACGTTTAAAAGCCAGTTGCGTGAGTAGAGACGGGTAGCTGAGGAAGGGCACACAGCTCTGAGGGCCCAGGGCCCCCCTGCCCGCGGGACCCAGAGGCGGGTTCACTCGCGGTCCCCTTGGGCCGGTTGCCGTCGGGTTACGGGACCCTGCCCGAGGGTACAAGGTGCCGCCCCAGCAGCCCTGGGCCAGCACTTGGTTTGTTCACAGATTTATCACTTTTGCTTATGTTTATTTACTTCCATAATGTTTAATTAGCTCTGTAGGCTGCAGTAAGGGATCTCCAAAGACTCTGATTAGAACTATGTGTTACTTAAGGGAAGCAAAGGATCATGTGGACGGAAAAAAGTAAGTTTTACTATTGGAGCTGACACTTTTCTGGGCTTATGGGCCCTTGTCTTGGACTTGAAATACCTGAGTGAGCTGGAGAGGGAGCTGGGATCACCTTCCCCCCACTGTGCAGTGTGTTCCTAGGGTTCTTGCTGTCTTCCCCTTGGTAAAGTTTCATCTCCTTGCTTGCTCCAATATAATAAACATTTGGCTTAGCCATCGGGGTAAAAGCAACCATTAGAGTAGATTAGGGGTACAGTCAGGAGTACATCTGAAACTAGTAGCCTTCATGGTTAGTAGTTCACCGTGTCTTGAGTGATGAAGTGATCCTTTAAACTCATCTTCTTTTTTGTCCCCTCTCATAAGGATAACAGGTATCAGCTGAAGTATTGTTAACTAGATTTTTTACGTTTGAGCCTGTATGAAAAAAGGGTGTAGGGAACGTAATTAACATGAAAATTTGCCTAATTTTTTGTGGTTCAAATGCTTAGCCTTTTCTTTTTATGGTTCTGTTAGAAAATAAATTTTTCAGTCTTTTTAGACTATAACTTTGCTACTGTTAATAGGACACAAAACCTGACCCATATGAAATTGTTCGAGGTATTAGCATTAAACAAGGGAGTTGTTAACCTTTCAGCCTTTCTTGAGCTTGCAGCAGTCCTTTATCAAATCCATCCCTTTGGGGGAATTCAGAGTACTTGAAAGCATCACAAGCATTTGTTCCCTCTCCATATCATTCTTTTTGTGCCTGTTACATTCTAAGATCAGTTGATAGCTTACTAGTGAAAGCATCTTTTAGTCCTTTTTTCCTTCAGGTTAAAAACATCTGGCTTTTCTCTTTTAAGAAGAGCTACAGACCAGGCAGATTGGCCCAGATACTGTTGTTCCTTTCCTCTCAGAAAACTGCTTCAAGTGACTGAGCTCTTCAGTGAAGTGTGACATACCCCAGCTGCCCTGCCACCAGGCTTATTTAACTGATTCAGCACATGTAATTCTTCAGCATAGAAACAATTCCTGTTCTCCAGAAGCCCTGGCGGCATCTGGTGTGTAAGCAGTTTGAGAAGCAGTGAGGTGGCCGAGTCATTGTTCAAGGAAGAGCTTTCCTGGGGTTGTTCTGCAGACAGGACTCTGAACTAAGCTCTTCAAGGCTAGCAGTCACAAAGCAGCTTTTGACAGAAAGCTGAAAAATTGGTAAAACTGAGCACGTTGCCAGAAGCTGCTGCCCAGCGTTAATTTAGAGTTCTCTTACAAATTCTATGTACATAATTTAGACTCGTTGCTCCAAAGATTTTAACCAGAGCTGTCAGCTTGCAGAGAGACTGATTTACACATTTATCACTGCAGAGCCTGTGTGCAAAGGCATTAATTTCATGTACACTTTAAGTTGTCATAAACAAAGTCTTGCCTGTTTCTGCCTGCTTATTCCCACTGTGCCTGGCCAGCTCTTTCCTTATATGAGTTTGTACTTTTGCACAGCCTTGTGGAGAGCCGGACTGGGGAGCTAAGCCAGAACAAAACCAACCTGCCTCTATCCTGCCCTCCCTAAGACAGTTCCCAGGCCTAAGGAAAAAAGGGACTGGGAACACAGTGGATGTGTTTGTTCTTTTCAAAAGTGTTGGCATATTACAGCTTAACGACATGTGTTATTGTGACCTGAGAGAGTACATCAAGAAAAATATATTTTGTTAAGACTTGAGCCTGCAGTTGGAAACAGAAGTGGCGATGTGGTATTTGGAATTTACAGGGTTTCTGCAGTTCTTCACATCAGACAACTTTGGCCACTTCATCGCTGTACTACTACTTCTGTAAATTACAGATAAGAATAGTCATCTACCCTATGGGATCATGAGCAACTTGTATTTAGAACATTATTTGAAGGTATAAAGTGTTATGGGTACTAAATATTGCTCTGTAATGAAGATAGATAATTACCGGAGTGTTTTATAATGATGAGGCTGTACTGTGGAAATTGAAAAATACTGTTGAATTTTTTCTCACCGCTATAAATTGTTTGGGTTTTTTTATGAATGGAGAAGATCTCTCCTGATCCCCAAGTACTGTAAAAACTGTAGGTACCTTTTGATTCTATGTTGAGTACATAATAGCTCTGTTAGCAGCTTGCCCTGTTCTGGTCACAGTTGCTCAGACAGTAGTTGTGTGGCATGGTTAGAATTTTCATGAGGTTTACCTTGGAATATGGTAGCACTCTTTCTTATAGGTGCCATTCTTAGATGCATTTTGTATTTCTTCTTTTTTTTTTTTTTTTCTTTAACCAGATCTGTTTTCTTTTGCCAGGTATTCAGATCACAGCTCAGTGTTTCTTCAGTCAGTGATCAAGATGCCTACAGAGCAGGATTACAGCCAGTTAGCCTGTGGAAAGCCTATGGCCTCAATGGGTATCCAGGTAGGTACTTCTGATTTCAAGAAAAATTAAAGACAACATTGTTGCTTTGGATTCAGGCATCTTCCATCTTATTCTCCTTGCCCTGCCTGAAAAACCTATTTTGGTTTGTTTAAGTGTAATTTAATGTTATTTTAAGTGCAGGAGGACAAACAAGTCAGCTAAAGGGTGGGATGCATCAGTATGGAAGTGAAAACAGAAAGGCCAGTTGTTTCACAATCTCTGATCAACCAGACCATCCCTTGCAAGAATGAATTCCTGTTGCCTTTGATACAGAGATACTATATTTCTGTTGCATCTGTTTTTCCTCAACATATATTATGAAAATTAGAGAAGTGGCTGAAGTACAGTCGTTTCAGGGCTGAAGTGTGTGGCATCTATTTGCTGGTGTAGAACACTGAGTATAATAAGTGAATAAGAATCTCTTGTCCTATACAAGGTACAGAGTAATTTCATTAAGCAGGTTATTTCAAAAACTGAACTGGATCTCAGGTTTGCAGGTCACCTGGTAGAATCATAGAAATATGTTAGGTTGGAAGGGACCTCCAGAGGTCTAGTGCAACTCCCCGCTTAAAGCAGAGTTAAGTTGAAAGTTAGATCAGGTCACTCAGAGCTTTGTATGAATGAGTTTTGGAAACCTCCAGAGATAGATTACACACCCTCTCTGGGCATTTGTTCCAGTGTTTCACCACTCTTGTGATTTTTATTTTTTTTTTTTTTGTTTTGTTTTGTTTTGTTTTGTTTTGTTTTCTTCACCTTAAATCAAAATTTTGTCTTGCTGTAATTTGTGACTGTTGCTCATAATCTTGCTGTGCACCTCTGAGAAGAATCTCGCTTCACCTTCTCTGTAACGCCCCTTGAGGTAGCTCTTACCTTTGTCAAGGTTCCTTTCAGGTGGCAGCAGTAGCCTCCAGCATATTCACTGTTGCCCCAATTTAGTGTTATCTGTAAGTGGGATGAGGATGAATGTTCCGTTGATGTAGATGTAGTGATCCATCTTGACCCCTGTATCAACCTGAGGAATGCATCTCGTAACAGCCACTGGCTAGGCTTTGAACCATCAAATCGCTGTTCTTTAAGCCTGGTGGCCCAGCCAGCTTTTGCTCACCCTTACAGTTTACCCATAAAATCCATGAGCCCCCAGTGTGGCTGCAGGAGACCGACTGTAAAACTTTGCTAAAGCCAAGGTAAACAGCATCCCTGGTTCTCTCCTTGTTTGGGCATCTTCCTCTAGCAGGCAGTAAGGCTGGTTAGACAAAATTTGCCTTCGGTAAATCCATGCTTGCTGGTCCCCACCTCCCTGTGTCTGGAAATTGCTGTCATGAAAGTTTGCTCCCTAATCTTACCAGCAGTTTTGATAAGACTGGTGAGTTTGTAGTTCCCCAGATCTTCCTTATTTCAGGGATTTTTTGCTTGTTTGATTTTGGTTTCTTTTGGTTCCTCAGGACTGCAGTCAGTGTCTGGGGGTTGCTATGAAGCCACCCTACCATTTCTGAAACTGAGGCAGCCACATTAGCCATCTGGTGTAGTTAATACACAGGAAATTGAATAACTTCAGGAGAAAGCCTTCCACCTCTTCTTGACTCTCAAATTGTTCTGCTTACCTGTCATGTTATAGCTGCCCTTGCTTGGTCTTTCTTGCCATTTTATGTCTGTCTAAGCATCTTTCCTAGCAATTATGTGGGGTAGATCACAAATGTTCCACTTAGCTGTGTTTTTCTTCTGCTTTGACAAAGGAAAACCTTTCACTAAAATGAAATGCAAATACGTTAACAAATTCTCAGTCCTGTTCAGAATCAAGTCATGTGTGGACAATAATAATCCTTTTCCAGCTACCTTTATCTGGACATCCTAAAGCACTCTAAGATATTTAACCATCTGCTCCAACAGCCCTCTAAAATAAGTTTGAACTTCTTTAGTTTGTCT